GGAAAAATGGCACACCAGTCGAAAGCAGTAGTTTTTTTTTAATACTCTTGCAAAGCATATTTAAATTATAGTCTCTTAGTTTAAAAAGCTATCTTAATGCAGCTTTGCATAAGCCCGTCTCTAATTTGTAGACAGTATATATAAATACTCGGAGTCGGCTGGATCATAGCACTATATGATGGTCGTTGTTATTGGAAAAAAGGTTTGTTCCTCAAGATATGTTGATCAAACTGTGCAATTACGTAGCAGACCAGTAAATCATATATCTGTAAGTGAAGTAATTAAATTTATATATGAAAAACTTTTAGGTTTTTCTTGGCGATTGCGTGCTCAAAATATCAGTAAGCCCATTAGAAATCGGTCTTCTCGGTCGGAAATGACGTTTTTTAAGCCCATGTCTGCAAGTGTATCTAAGCTTCGACATTCCAAATATAACTGTTGTTTCTGTGTTGTTTTTTTTTTGCTCATGCAGATGAGCATAGATGCTCTGTGGGTTAATTATTGTATTATGAATACGAAAAGTGAAATTTGTGTAGTCTAAACTGCCCGCTGGGAGCAGCTCATAGTTAAGGGCCACATTAATCATAGCAGTTGCCATTAAACAAGAAATTGATTTACATTTCTCATCAAAATACCGGCTACAATTACCGCATCTAACAGAAAACTTGATGTTGCGAACGTACACTTCAGGTCACTTGCATAGATAAAGTTTCACATTTCTTTCACATTGCCTGCAAATCTTTTCTCCTGCTGCCGTATTCTACTGTTATCAAGTGTACATATTATACAAGGCAAAGAAATTGCCACAAAGCCGCAAAAAGTTGCAATGTAATGCCGCAGAGATTAACCTTCTAACATACATAATAAACATAAACTAAATATGTAGTCATAAATACAAAAAAAAACTCGGCGCTTCCTAGTAGACGCCGGACTTGAAGATACAGTTTGGTGAGCTAACAAAGCGTGAAAATGACAGCGTGCTCAGGCACAATGCGATCAAGGGAGGGGGTGGGGGGGGGGGGGGTGGTCGGTGTAGTGGGGGGAACGTTGGGGCGACTGCGACTGACGGCAAGATTGACGGCCGGCCATCAGCGGCAGCAAACAAAACGATGACAAACAATATGCGAGCGGATACGAGACGAACTTAGTTGAGCTGGCATTGGTATGTATGTGCGTGCGTGTGTGTGTGTATGTGTGTGTGTGTGTGTGTGTGGGCGCTGGGTATGGTGTATGTGCACAGCATTAGAATAGTGCGCCAGCGTAGAAATCTCTTGTCATCGTCATTGTCGTCTCAGATGCGCGCGTAGATATGCAATATGGCTCTAAATGGGCGTAGCAATTACTAATTTCTTTTGTAAAGCGCCTGAATCAACGGAATTTAGTTGTAAAAATCGAAAATGTGGACTAGCTCTGCAGTTGGTCAGCAAAGAGGCAACATGCAACACAGGCAACAAGCAACAGGCAACAAGCAAGAGCAAACGGAGCAGCCGCCTCGCATCTTTGCCGAGACGACCAGCTCGCTCGTCGGCTGTCTGCGTGTCCAAATGCCGCTGTCCCTGTCTGAGGTATTGAGCCTAGCGCGGCATCTACTCACAGATGCCTGAGCATAGATATCGAAATGCAATTAAGTATTTGCCAAGTCGGCAAATGGACGACGCAGCAGCAGAGCCGCCGTCGTCGTCGCCGCTGCGAGCGCCACCAACAAAGCAAAAGCAAAAGGCGGCACGCATGGAAAAATGCAGCCCAAACGTTGCTTTAGCTCAACTCCAGCGGGAGCACAGGCTCTGAGGTTCTGGCTCTGGCTCTGGCTCTGGCTCTGGCTCTAGCTCAGACTGCAACTCTCTGCTCCAAGCTTTGCATAACTTTGACGTCGGCTGCTGTTGCTGCTGTGCGCCCGGGGCTTGGCCATACTTACAAATTGGACTACACCTTCATTTTCATTTCAGGCAAAGGCCGAGCTGTGCTTCGACATGGCTTAGACAGACTCAATCGCTGTACGTATTTCCCTGCTGGTGTTGAACCTGAACCTGAACCCCCCAGAGGTCAGCGCTGGCGCTGAGAACACACGCAAAGTGGGCGAACGCGTTGTTTGTTTGCCGCAGCCCCTGCCCCTGCCTCTGCCCGTGCTTCTGCCTCTGTCCGCCACTTCGCTGATGTTGCCGCACTTTTGGTTTCACTTGACACGATCGTTCCGTGGTAGCTGGGGCAGGCACTGCGGGGGGTGGGCGTGTGTATAGAGCCTAGGCTGGGTTGGGCAGTTGCCATCATTATGTTTGCTGATTGCGTTTTCTGCCTCATTCGCAGTGTCAAAGTTCAAGTTCAGAATCATTATTGTTCTTCTTCTTCTTCTTCTTTAGCTGTCGGGCGTCTGTTTGTTTGCGCTTTAAGAGCCCCATTTCCAAGACATTTTACGGGCAGTGCAAAGGCCGCAGTCATACGTATAATTGTACAATTTTAAATAATTTGTATAAAATTAGCTACACAATACGCAAAATGTGATTCAAATTGCATTCGCCAGCTTTGTTTAATTGAATGATGTATGTATATACCTAAACATAAATGTATATAGAAATATACATAGACACACTCCTTCGTTTATATATATATATATATGGCGAGTCTAGCGAGGACGCTCTGAAGCGCTACAAATTTTATGTTTATTACACCTTAATAATGCGTGTTTACAAACAAATCACGTTCGTGGCGCAATCAACGCGCAGCAATCGGCATCGGCATCGACATCGGCATCGGCATCGGCATCTGGCCGACCCGGTGCGGCAGCAGGAATCCAGCGGAGCGTCGGACGCGTCGGTGTCCATGCTGACTAGTCAGCTTCCCATCAACGTCAGTCGCTGCGGCGAGCGCACGCATGGCCACTCAAATTATATGGTAAAGGATTTTTATTGGCAGCTCCAAGCGTTTTGCGTACACTTACAGAAAAATCAACAAGAATTTTCTATTTCCAATCAAGCGCAGACGTGAAAAATTTGTTAACTCTCCAAGTTCATAAAAACAAGATTCATTTGATTTTTTATGCTTAATACGAGTCCTGTTTTTCATCGCACAAAGGCTTGATTTTTGTTATAGAATATTTCAAAATATAACTTTATTAAAGCACAAACAGCACGAACTCCATCCAGCTATTCCTAAATTTAAATCGGTTTTTCTCTGAGTGTATGCGCTGCAGCCAGAGCCTGGCTTAAACTGGGTAGACAGACGTTCTAGTCATGATCATACGCCGTCGCCATTGATGTCTAGTCGCTCGATTGGCTTTAGCCTGTGTGTAGCTCTGTGTGTGTGAGTGTGTGCTTGTTAGAGTGGAAAGCTGTCCTGTCTGTAAGTAAGCCAGTAAGTGAATGAGCACTGCGCATCGTCTGTACGGGACCGATTCTGGTTCTGACCATGATTGCGCCTCGGCCTCTGACCAGGTGCCATAATGGGCATGCATTTTCTAGCCATTACAGCGCGCTCCTGCTCGTCGCATTTGGCGTTTTGGGTGGGTGCGTGTCTGCAGCAGGCCGCATGCAGCAGGCGCTATAACGACTGGCCCCAAACTAAGTGGATGCTCATTGGCTGCGCCTGCTTAGCGCACTTGCGACCACCACTCTGCCGTGTGCGGCATGTCCTCGGGCCAAATGCATTGTTTAAACAGAGTTTGTGCTGCAAGTACTCGAGCTCGTAGTCGTAGTCGTATTCAAATATAAATATTATCGCGTTTGCTTAATCGCAATCAACATTTTTTGTTTTTGCTGCAGGACACACCCAAATTGTCGTTTTGTGGGGCTACACACACATTGTTGCCGGCCAGTTGGATGGCTCCCGACATCCGCTTTGTATTGATATTCGCTCCACTCACTCAAACCCCATTCCATTTGACAATGACAAAGGCGAGAGTCGAATTAAATATCGTCGTATGCAGACAAACACCCTCATGATGTCTACTTCTTATACCCTGTACACATTGAAAATGGCTCAAAAAAAAGGATACTATGGTTTTGTGCAAAGTATGTAACAGGCATCTCCGACCTGATATTTGTGACCTGTTTGTTTAACAGAGTCGATCTCAATTCTCGTACATCATACGTAAAATCAGTTTATCATTTTCTCTATATCCCCCTCCGAAAACCTAATATCGATACGCGTCGATTTTAAGACGGTGTGCCAGTGACCATCTATGTATCTTGGAAACTAAACGTTTTCTTAAAATGCACACATTTTTGTGCCATTTTCAAGCCTCCCAATTCCTTAAGGGTCTTACATAAGGTCCCAAAGTTATTGAAGAATAAGTTTTCTATAATGGGGTATTGGGAAGAGTTTAAAAATAAGAAGGTATCTGGTAGTCGGGCACTCCCGACTAGACCATTCCCTTTTTTATGCTCCGGCTAACGAGCATAACGCAAAACAAACTTGATTCGCTCTGCTCACTTCTTACTCTGATCCCCCCTGGCTGAGCCCAGCATACACTAATTTTAATACACTTTTAGGAAGGGAGGGAGGGGCGGGGGAGTCAGAGTCATTGGCTTTTTATTAATTGGCAATTATTCTATTCACTGCCTGTTTTTTACTTTTTTTTGGTTTTTTTTTTGTTGGTTTTCTTCCTCTTGTTTTCGTTTCTAATTTCTTGGGGTTTATTGCGTTGTCTGCAAATGGATGCGAAATATCTCTTGTAAGCCAAATAGGATGAGGGCTCTTTTTTCTGGCTTTGTGCTAAATTACCAGCTTTGATTTAATTTTAATAACACTTTCGCTGGTGTGGCACAGTGGGGCACATGTGAAGTGCCCATAATCAAGCAAGTAAAAAGTTGATTTATTTAACCCATCCAAATTTAACCAGGTCGCATCTAACCAGGCCGCATCTAAACACAACAAAACAACAACAACAACAACAACAGCAACAACAGCAACAACAACAAACAACAAAAATAATATGAACTAAAAACATGCAAATGGCTCGTGAATTTGACTTTGAGATTTGTTATCTTTCTTATTTCGATTTGCAGTACAAAAGAGATTTGATGAGTCGCATATCAATTTAACCTAGGTTTCTAGACCGATCTGAAAATGCCTGGAACGGCAGCTTAACACTTTTATCCAAGTCAAAGTGCAAAATTGAAAGCGATCCCAACCAGCAGCAGCGGCTGCAACCAGAATAAACAACTGAACAAATCACAATCCGCAATCAGTCAAAATGCCGTCGCAACCTCAGCAACTGCCAGGATCAACATCAGCAGCAACAGCAGCAGCAGCAGCAAATGGCGGACCACGTGTCAGCTTCAATCGGGATGTACATGTGAAGCGTATAGGTCAGTGTGTTGTGCTAAGGAACATAACCTCAAAATAACCGCAACACACACTCACCCACACACACACACAATAACAATAAATAAATTTCATTATTAACAAGTGTGTTCTCGCCGAGTGTGGCCGACTGGGTGATACTCTGTATGGCGTTCGTACTTTCTTGAATGCATACAGAAACTCGCGCGCGCATACACAAAAACACACACACACGCACACACGTAGGTACATACACGCTAATTTTGGTCAATCAATGCCGCTAACAACCCACGCTCCGCACATCAGCAACTGAATGACTACATAATTTAACTAACTAATTAACTGGGCAGTCGCAGTCGCAGTCGCAGTCACCAGGTGCTCAACTGCTGGGTTCTAAGATGGTCAGACACTTGGCAAGCGGATCACCTTCGTGCTGTTCCAAAATGGTTATGTGCTTCTGCTCTGGGGCTGGCAAATGACATTTGGGCATCCATCAAATGCATAATTCTTTGAACTATTTTGACGAGTCTCTCAGCTGATATTGATTGCATGCATACATAGGGTATATGCATAGTATTTATATATAAAGATGGAAGCGAGAAGTGGGCGAGTAAGCCAGAACGAATGCCAAAAGCAATGCTCGTAACAATGCCGCCCCAACAATAAAATGTAGTTTACCTTGAGAGCACGAGAGCACACACAATCGCGCAAAAGTCAGCCACACAAATAACTATTTTAAATAAGTAGATATATATATGTTATGTATATGCATATATATTTTTTATAAGGCATTACAAGCACCAAGCAGAAAGAGAGAGATACACTGTCCACTGCCGCTGCTACGTCTGCCTGTTAAAACCAAAGGTATCACTTTGCACATCTGTCTTTGAGGCTCGCTGGAGGGAGGAGTGGGGAGTGGGGAGTTGGGCAAATGGGTGACTGTGGCAGCAAAACTCATCAGTGGCACTCGCATTAAGTATATGTATATGCCTAGCGTCAGCTTGTGGCTGGCCCCGGCTGGTCCCGGCTGCTGCAACTGTCCGTTTGTCTCCAGAGTCGACTACATTATTATTGTTATGATTATGTCTGGCAGCAGCCACAACAACGACAACAACTACAACAGCAACAACAGCAACAACAGCAACAAGAGCAAGAACAATCGCCCGTCCAAGCAGCCGCATTTAATTGCAGGGCAATGCGATTTATACCAAAGCCGGAATGGAATTTATGGCGTCTGTCTGAAATGAAGAAATTAAAAATTGATTATGACAAAAGCGGCACAAATGTAAATTATTTAGCTGCCTTTAATAGATGCGCCCATTCTTAGTGTGTGTGTGTGTGTATGTTTGTGTGTGTATGTGTGTGTTGTAATTGGCATGCCACGTTTGTTGCCAGAGTCTTTTGTTTTGGGCTTGACTTGAATCTCCTTATGGGCGCTGCAGTTCTAGCAAAAATTGTTGTCAAAGAGGCTGCACACAAATATGGTGTAAACTGCGTTTGTATCTAATTAAGCGCAAAATCTTGTAAACGTTTTTTGGTCGACTTTTAATTTTGTATTTGGCCTTGACAACAAGTTTGGTGGGCCTTTCTATAAACCCACTATAAATCTTTGCAGAAATCTTCTCCACTTTACTTTTTCTGACTTGTTTTACGCAAGAAACTATCTAGTGTTATTTGAATTAGATTTATTTGCTGAAATTAGATCTTCAAGTCCTATCTAAAGACGGCCAAGGCGCCAGCATTTAACATTTAACGACACACAGACTACACGTAGTTAACCATAATGTTTTAAATGACTTTGTTGTTCACATGCAAATTGAGGCAATTATGTGAGAAAACATAGATAAAATGATGATTTAATTTGAGCTCAAAATGTCTGTGTATTTGTGTATATATAGCGAAAATTAGCCGCTCGTGGGGGTTAAAGCCACATTTCGTTCGAGCTGTTGAGGCTAATTTCAGCCAAGTTTTGCTCTTTGCTTGAGCCTCACTTGATGAACAAGTGAATAAAAACAATAACAATCTTATGAATGTGAATATGAGTATAAGTATAAGTCTGAGTCTGAGTCTGAGTATGAGAATGAATATGAGTGTGAGTGTGAGTGTATGTGTCTCAGCTCGTAGGCAACCTTGCGTAGCGACAAATTTGGCAAAAACAAGTCTGCTTCAGAGGTTGCCACAGCTCAGGACGGTTGTTGTTGTAGATGAAGTTGTTGTTGTGGTTGCCGTAAATATTGTTGTTATTGTTGTCTCTTTGATGCACTTGCTCACCTGAAGGCGGGAAACTGCAGACAGGCAAGGGCACACGGGAGCACGAGATTGACAGAGCAGATGCTACTGTTTATACTTGAACTGCCAATGCTCGGCATCTATAGAAATATATATACATATACATATATTCCTGTTTGCGCTTGGTGAATGACATAATCTGTGGCTAGCTGCAGAGTACGCTGGAGTTTACCATAACGCGTCACTTTAATTGATTCAATTATGGCTTTGATCTTGCAGCAAGTTGTCGTAATTGGGTAGCTTCAGTAGATCATGACGTAAGATTTACAATTTGCACTCGTAATTAAATGAGTGTCTGCTCCGTTTGCTACTGTATTCTTTTATAATGCACACGTATTTTAATGAGCTCGCATATATTTTAATTAATTAATTAAATTGTTTAACAGAAATGTGTATGCCTCATTATGAAATTGCCGCGGCGTTTCCTAGTTGTGCAATTTCTATACCGTTTGCTTGCTTTGTGGCCAGTTTTGAATTTGATTAGTTGTTTTTTTTTCGCATGCTCCGTGTTTATTAATGAGCAAAAAAGGTATGCGAAATGTGACAATTCAAAAAAGCCAGCAGACAAGTCGATGCCAGACACAAAAAGATTTTTTTACTGCGAAATTGATTTGCTAATCTCTTCGTATACTCTATAACAATATATAGTTGCAAAAGGGTATGATAATCATGAGAATATGTGACAGCTAAGATAACAAAAGGAGCTTTTTATAGCCCAATCATTTGTTCTTTACAATTTACAGGGTATAATATAGTTGATTATATTAAAAAATTAATTTGATGACTTTGTTTGTGCTTCGCCTACTACGCAATTTTCACATAGAATTGTTTTGCTTGAATTTGTCAAACCTGATTGTACGTGGTTTAGAACTCCACCCGCATGAAAGGGAAGGGGGCGACGACGTTTAAGACATAGACGCGGATCTGCGAGGCTGGGAGCACACGTTACCATTGCCACCATTAAAATGCCATTTATGTTTTTTATATTTTGTTTTAATTCATAATTTGCATATGTTGTTTTATAGTGCCAACAACAACAACAAGAGCAACAACAATAACAATAACAACTGTCGCAGTCAGCAAAAAGAAACTTAATTAATAAGTCGCATTTTGGCTGCTGCTGCCCACCATTTCGCACTATTTTGCTTTTGTGACATTGGCGTAGGCAGCAGAGCTGGCAGCAGCTCGGCCCTCTCTTTAGTTGTTGGCTGAGTCGCTGCTCAGTCGCTGGCTCAGTCAGGTTCTTTACCCGGTTGGCATTGGGTGTTGTTGTCGTCGCGGCCGCAGTTATTAAATGTGTATTGAAGTTATCGAGTTATAAGTGATATTATTGCGAATTGGGTAAATGAAGTTGCCGATCAGCTCGATCAGCTCGATCAGACATCAGCTCAATCATTCATCAAAGACAACTCCATATTCTGCTGGGCAACTTCAGTTGGCGCAAAAATCACTTTTAAATGCAAAGATTGCGTCATTTGTTTATCGAAATGTGTATTGAAATGAGTCTCAGATTATATTTAGCGAACTTTTGGCACTCGAGGTACCGTCTATAGATGGTCTATGTGTGTGTGTGTGTGTGTGTGTGTGTGTGTGTGTGTGTGTGTGTGTGTGTGTGTGTGTGTGTGTGTGTGTGTGTGTGTGTGTGTGTGTGTGTGTGTGTGTGTGTGTGTGTGTGTGTGTGTGTGTGTGTGTGTGTGTGTGTGTGTGTGTGTGTGTGTGTGTGTGTGTGTGTGTGTGTGTGTGTGTGTTGTTGTTGTTGTTGTTGTTTGCTCTCACTTAATGTGCTGTTGACAGCTGCTGTGCAAAACAAGTTTGTCGCTTAAGTCTTTCGTCTTAGCCAGTCTTTTTACAGCCGCGTCCATTCTTTAGCGAAAGTTTTTATTTGTATTTGTTTTGAAAGCCATTCGACGAGAGCTTTAACAGCAGCCACAACTCAAACTTCGACTCTCAAGTGCAGCTATTTTAATTGGGCCCAGCGAGTAGCTAGATTCTGTGTCGGCTCGAGCCGGGATTGAGTGCAGGCTCATGTCAAAATACACTAGCTTATTTGCATACTTGTCACATCGGAGAGCCTGGCTGGGCTGGTATGCGTATTCGCTGGCATTCAAGGACGCGGCGCGGTTCGGCATGTCTTTTGATGTGATTAGGAGGGAGGCCTGGTCAGGCCTGGGAACCCTCTGGTCAACGATAAGCGCACAAGGGCATTCAATTATTTCAATTCTGGAATGAGTGCGCAGCCGTTTAGCATTGGAATTGCTGCACTCGACTCGCCTAGATAAAGTCCAAGTCGAAGGCGATACTGATGCCGATGCCGATGCCTTGGTCAGGCCTAGGCCCGGCCTAGGCCGCCGTTCCAATGAAATCGAAAGTGCGCAGGTTAATTGAAATGCCCCAAAGGCGCGCCACGCCGCACCGTGGCATGCGGCAGGCGAACGGCCCTGAGCCCCAAGATCTTTGGCACTGGCATGCATGCCCCTGCCCATTTGCCTTTCGCATGGGTTTCTTTAAGTGTGAGTCCCGTCCACTCGGTCGGTTCATTAGCGCAGGAACTTGAACTTAGACCAGTAGTGGGCATGTCGTGAAGCTGGAAAGAGCCCTAAGAGCCCTGTTATCTAGCTCATGACAGATTGTGGGCGCGTTTCGATATGATTCATTTGCTGGCCTAAACGTATCGCCAATGGCATTAAGCTGGCTCTTAATGAGGCAAGCACATGCCATCATATATACAATCCCGCTCGAGCCATTGAATAGGCCAACTGACCAAGTGAAAGTCGGCTGAATGAAAAAAATAAAACCCAACTGCTACTATTAGCTATATGGATTGAGACTTGGTCAGTGTGCTGCGATAAAATATAAAGCCCAACTGCTGGTATTAACTGGCTTGCCTTGTCTACCACGAAAACCAAATTAAGTGCAACGGCAAATGCCGAAAAAAAAATGGAAAATAAAACCGGAACAGGCGCTGAGGCAGGTTTGGGCCGCCGAAAAATTGGATCAGATATTTTATCGCAATGCGTTAAAATTTTCGAATACTTGTTTTTGCCGATTCCTGGAGGCTTTAGTTCTCTCCTACTCATTGGAACTCATTCGGCATGGGCACACAAATCATAGAGCCCGCCGGCTCTGGCTCGAATTCATTAAGTGGATCGATGATTAAATTAATGAATGGCTTTCAGCAGCCTTTGCCTTTGCGCCAGGTGTTGTTGTTCGCAATCAATCATAGCTGCACTCGCTGAAATTCACAGCCAGTTCATTGTTTGGTTCTCTCTCAGTTCTCTCTTGGGAATCCGCTCAAGCGTTTACTGTTACTTGACATTGACTTGAGCTTCAGTTTTACTGGCTCCTCAAGTTGCAGCAACTGTCGCTTAGTCGCAATTTATGTTTTCCTGTTGCCTAAAGGCCACAAAACGCGGCCAAAACCACCTCCAGCTATAACGCAAAGGCATTGCAGCGTATGCCAACAATACAAGCACAGTATGTCGCGAATGAACTACTAAGAGATACCCTCAACTCAGCGCCACGATAATATTACGAACATTATACAGAGGTTGTGCTCCTTGTTTGCTTTGCATCACGCATCCTGATTAACTTTTGTCATTACCGTCGCAAGTTTATGATATTAATCGATAGGAAATTAACTCGCGCTCAAATATGCGACTTATTTATCTACTTAGTCCGTCATCAAAAACCTCATACCCCCTTTCTCCCATTTATAGTTGGTAAAGGGTATAACAACCGCAGTCTGCTAAACATGCGAGTGGCTCTTCGAACGACGTCCAGCTCGCATGTCGACTGGCACCCAACGCACACTATAAATGCGTACATACTTGTAGCTATGTATTTATGTAAGTATGTATGCTCGAATGTATGTATGTATGCACGCACTGCAAAGCTACATTTCACCTTGACACATATGACTGATCACAGCTTGCGGTTTGCTCATCATTTTGGCAAGCGGCGTTCGCTTTGAGTCGACTTGGTATCGTCATGGAATTCTCGTATAGCTTTACAATTATCAAACATTGCCCGCTTGAATGGTGACTGCCAATTTGACACTTGCCACGCCCAGCTTGTCATTATTCATTGTATCAAATCAGTTGCCACTTGGTTCAATCACAGGTTCATTTCTTACTTCGCCAGGTGTGGCAAGCTCGCCAATGTGACAGGCTGTGCAAATGCAGTCAGTTGAGTGCTTACAGGTGAATGATAATCCCAATAGGAGCGGAGGAATATATAGGTCGCTGCCTAGAATTGAACTGAAAAATTAAAATACGAATTTGAGATAATGCAAAGAAATTTTGCTGTAGTTTTGGGAGCAGTAAAATCGAAAAATGAAATTACAATATACGGTTTTAATATGCAGAAATAATATATATAACTTTAACCAAAATGGGTTGATTTTTGACTAAGTTAATGAAATTGTAAGAAATGGACTTCATTATAGATTCAGAGGCTGAGTATGGCAAGGCCAAGGTCAATGCAGTTGGCAAGCAGATAAAACAAATGACTTAGGCAACGAACTGGTGTGAAGCATGTTCTATCGCTTAACAAGCGCTGATTGTCAAGATGTTGTGATTGCTCCCGTTCAGCTGGCTAGAGCTAAGCTGAGGAGCCGCAGAAGGGAAGCAGCAACGAATTGGCAACAAAAAAGATACAAAGAGCTAAAAAAGCTATCAAAGAACACGCACGTTTCTGCTGTTTTTTTACTGGTTGCTCTGGTTGTATGTAGTTTGGTGGTGCTGTTGCTTCTCAATCTTGTTTTTGGTCATGATGATCGCTGCGGCTGCTGCTTGGGATAGAGATGAAGCGGCACGTTTTTTGTTTTCGGGGGGTATTAAATAATAATGATTATGAACAAGTGAGGAAGTGGATGGAAAGAGTCTTGATGATCTTCGAATAGAAGCGGTCTATAGTAGCGCCTCGTTCGGCTCGGGCCGAGACGCTTCAATGGCCATTAGCGCTTACAGCGCCCGATTACAGAGTACAACACGTACCAAAAGACGTGGGCTAATGCTGTATCCATTGTTAGTGGCAACGATTCAGCAGCAGCCATTCAGGCTGCCTTATTTAGGAGGCAGCTGTTGCCAATTCACACTTTGAGGCTTTGGCCAACAGCTGCGACTGGCTACGTATTACATCATCGCCAGCAGAGGCGAGCGTCGGCTAATGTGCTAATTGTCATTACATGAATGCGAAGTAGTTCGCCGAAACGAACTTTGTGACTTTTTGCTAATCGAAACTCTCTCTCCCTCTCTCTCTCTCTCTGTTTTGGTTTCCCCATGCAGCCAAGCGTCCCAACGAGCCCTCGGAGTACGACTACGAGACGACAGATCTAGCTCCTATTGGCAGCATTGGCATACAACAAAGTTACCATCAGCTCCCGCCGGATATCGATCCCGAGGACATACGCAAAGAGGCCGCCCTAGTCATCGCACAGGCCGGTCAACACCAAAGCAAGGCAGCCAACGGGGATAATATACCCACATTCCGTGTGAAGCAGAAGCGCCAAAGCGCCTCCAGTGATTCACAGCGTTTCCATTCGCTACCCACGCGTCGCAAAAAGGGCAAACCCGTGGCGCGCAGCGTCAGCGACGCGGCGGCAACCAAGAAACCAGCAAAGCGCCCCTCAATCTTTGGACTTTTCAGTCGCAAGAGCGACACGAATGTCAGCCAATTGGATCGGGATCCACGTTTCGAGGACGGCGGCGGTCGGCGTTTAGTTCGTAGTAAAAGTGATGTTGGCAGTGCCAACCACAAGGAGGCGCGCAGCAAAGTAAGCAAAAAGAACGACCCACCGACAACAGCCAAACAACAGCTGAGTCCGATCATTGAACAAACGCAACGAGAGGACTTCTTTGAGCAGGACTATTTTCGTGAACGCGAGAGACGCAAGTCAGACGCAGTTACAGTGCGGGAAAAGCATGACAGCGAGAAAGGTCTGACTGAATTGCTCTCGCGCAGCCGTTCCAAGGCGCAAGTGGACGGCCCTTTATTTAAAAAGCAATCAGGATCTGGTACAGGTATAGGTACGGGTACAGCTTCAGGTCCCTCAATATCTGCTGGTATTCGGGATCGCATTGAGACACTCAAGTCCAAGTCCAGCGAGAATATGCATAGCTCGCAGCAGCCCGCAGAGCGCTTGCCGCTCACCAAGGGTCGCACTGTCAATGGGCTTGTGAAGCGGCTCTCGATGGAGCGCTTCTCACCCCAACCCGTCATTAGTCAGCCGGCTTTTTCCTATATACGGCCAAACGAGGGCATCACCTACGCCCAGCTCGATCTCAGCGACGAGCAGCAGCGTGTTTCTGGTCGCGATTTGCGCACACCACAGCGTGAATTTGCACCGCCCAGGCCACCTAGGGCCAACGACAGACCGTTGCGTAGTCTACCGCAGCGTAGCTACTCACCCATACAGAACGGAGGAGCACCGCCAGCAAGACTGGCCAGCTCTTCTCATTCGCCATCACCCTGGCAACAATTGAGTCCACGTAATCTTAGCGATGAGGATGAGGGTTTGGGCTTTGAGACACGCAAGGTGTATTATGAGGACGAGATACCCAAACAGGAGCGTGAGAGGGAACGGCGCGCAGAACCACCCATTGTGCCGGTTATAAGAAGCGTCAGTCCGGCGCCCTACCTCGATGAGCTGGGCTACAGGAGGGCACAGCTAGAGAACCGCATACTGACCCGCCGTTTTGGCGAGGGTGCCACGCTGGAACGCCAGCACAACTTCAGGCAGGAGCGGGAGCACGATCGGTTTCGTGATTATCCCAGCCCGGAACGGGAGCGAGAGCGGGATCGTGAGTTGCCTGCTGATGAACGTTACCATCGGCCTGCCCCGATGGAGTATACACAGGATCGGGGTCACCCGACGCCTGAGAACAGCAGCACGCTGCCGAAAATGGAGAAGAGCTCGCGCTACCGCCACACCAAGTACTATGACGACGGTCACGGTGGCATCAAGGAGACCTATGTGCGGGAGACACAAAGGGATGGACAGGTGCGCGAGTCGCGGCATCGTGAACGTCTCGGCTCCTCGCCAAGGGAACTTGAGCGCGACTACAATTCCGCAGAGCGACACGAGCAGGAGCCGAAAAGCCTGGACTCGCAGCTTACGGATCAATATAGATCCTCACCGGAGCTGCGCATCACAGAGCGCGGACGACTGCCGCAGCAGCAGGACTATTGGCAGAGCAGCCTGAAGCGCGACAAGCTGCAGCAGCGTAGCTTTGACAAGGGCGACTCGGGCATTGAGAACGATTTTCGCAAGGAATCCTTCAATGGCGACCTAACCACACGGTAAGTCCAACTTGTAGCTCCAGCACTGACTCCTGTACAAGCTTTTTATTGTTCCAAAACAGATGGCGCAAGCGCACGGCCCTTGATGATATGAGGGCCTGCGAGTCCTTTTTGCGTAAGGAGCGCCGCGAGAGCGCCCAGCAGCTGCAACAGCAGCGGCAATCGGCGTCGACGCGTCACAGCTATGTGTACCGGGAGCGCTCTATTGACGATGGCTCCCACTTCGATCCGCATTTGGACAAGTATCCGGTGTCCACGAGCACATTGCGGCGCCGAGAGCAGCAAGCGCAGCAGGTGAAACAGCGTGAGGATTCGAGCACACTAAAGCGCAACAAAAAGCTGGGCGGCTTCGAGAAGGTGAAGCAGCTGTTTACGGGCAACGGCAGTGGCAGCCATGGTGGCAGCGGGCGCAGCAGCGGCAGCAATGTCTCCAGCGCGAAGAAGGACACACAATCGCGCCTAACTAACGGCACCAGCAGCACCCTCAGTCGCCGCGACAAGGAGAACACGGAGCAAAGGGGCAGGGAGAAGGACAAGGAGCGCTATATGGTCCGGGAGGAGGAGATGCGTTCGCGCTACCGCGAACATCAACCACTGACCGAAGAGACCTCACGCGAACCAAAGGTAAGTCTGACCCAGCTCTTAATGGCCAATTGATATCGTTTGTTGGCTAGAGTTCGTTGAACCCACCGATGGGTCAGTTTTGGTCAGCGGAGCTGCTTAAACTCGCCCATTCGGTCATGGGTTTGGCTCTTATTAATTTCGAATTAATCAAGACTTGCGGCGATGAGTCTTAAGCCCGAGTCACCCTCAAACCGTCGCGGTACGTGCGAACTTTTGCAATTGTTGTGACTTCTGACGCTCTGCCAAGGGGTATTCGAATTTTCTTAGAAAATGTGTAATGCATTAGTTGAGATATATTTGTTACTAAAAATTATTATTTTATTATTACTTAATATAACAGGTTTAGTTATTATCCCAGCGTTGAGGGATCTTCTTCTTGAAGCAATCCCTTTTTGTTTGCATTGAGGCTTAGCATAGAAATATTTTGTTTGCTATTATTCTGATAGATAGAGCAAGGGTATCTAGTCTTCGGCGTGCCGATATTAACTATTCTTTTCTTATTTTTTGTTTGACTCGTCTACTTCCTGCTCACAGTCGCTGTCCAGGTGGGCGTCTGGGCACAGCCGAAAATGGTACAGCGACTCGACGTCATGTCAGCTGGGGCCACTTAGAGACACATCTGAAGGGGGCCAAACAAATCCGAGTCGAATCAAGACGTCGCCTGCCATAAAGAATGCTTGAAATTGTGTTTAAATAATGTTTTCCAAATAGAGTTGCGAACTCAAAGAGCTCGACGAGGCGTCGCTCAGCGTTTAAGCTAGAACAAAAGCGATACCCACGCACCAGCTGTCAGTAACACAGTTTGTCAGTCTGTCAGTCATTCTGTCTGTCTGTCTCTCTCTCTGTCTCTTTCTCTCTGTCAGTCTCACTATCTGCTCTGCTCGAGAATTAGGAAAGCTGACAGCAAGACGACGGCCAACGGGGCGTATGAGAAATTGATTAAGCTGCGCACACAGATTCCACATTGCAAAACGCTTTCGGGCTACTGTGCCGAGGTGTTGGGCCCCGCAACCAATTGGCATTGTGCCATGGCGCAACTGCAGCTGGTGCTTAGCTAATTTGCAATGCTTGAGCGGATTTGTGGGCCTACAAGACCTTGTCAAGAGGATGTTGCTAGCCTCAACCGTTGGTTCTAGCGGATATTGCAAGACACAACAATGTCTCGCCCCACCTCACCTGCTGCCGAGGCAGCAAACCTCATATTCAGGTTCGGTTCGATGCACCCGGGCTGTTAAATTTTGCTTGGGGAAGGCTTAAGGTTCGGCTCAGGGCAAAGATGGTGTTCCGGGCTCAAACCGGTTCGCTCGAAATCGGTTTGTAGCCTGCTCAGCTCACAATATTGATAGGTACAAACAAATTAGCAACATTTTTGGCCAGCTCAGCGGGCGGCCCGAAATCCTGCAGGAGCGCGGGGGCGTCATCTGAGAGGCCAGACACGATTGCAGATTCTTTTGTGATCAAAAGGTGTGGTCTCTCTGTGTGTGAGTATGTGGCCAGGGACCGTTGTCAAAATGATTGCGTGCCGCAGCGAAACTTTCGAATGATTTGGTGGTAAGCGGTTTGGACAATATGCGGCTATTATTCATGCTCATGCCCGATGGCCATAAAAATCGGAGCCGCACAATAAATGTTTCAAAGAAATAACATTAAGTGCTGGGTATTCGTTTCGAAGATTCTTCATGACCAAAAAAGATATAAATATACGCAGCAAATGGTGCGCCAATAATGTTGTTAGCTAATTTATGGCACAAGTTGGGGCCATAAACTATATTAAGGCGGCGGCCATATTTGAATATTTAATTATTTCAGGTGGGTGCGTAAGCGTCAAATCGAAGTGTTTGCTTCGATTTTTTTTTTTTTTAGATTTTTCCAACATTCCATTCCGAGTTCCATTGCAAAGTTTAGTTTGTTAGCTGCAATAACAGCAACAACAGAGCGTAGAACAAACATAAATACCCTGCCACAAACTCGACTCTCTCATGTGCCTTGTGTACCTGCCTAAATATAATATCAACCGCAAGTGGGGCAAAGTCTCATTGGGCCAAAACGAGCGAATTCGCATTCGCAAATGGCAAAACAAGTTTGTTTGCAACGTGAGCTGACATTGTTATACTCTGTACTCCATGACAAGACCTAAAAGAAGGTATGATGGTTATAGTGCGAAGGAAGAAGAAAGCAAATATAAAATATATATATATATATATATATTTATATATATATTTATTTTGTCAAGATCAGCTGAGACGAAATACAATCGTTTAAAACCGTTTGCAAAAACTGGAATACGTCATAAATATTCTCGTGGATTGCCATAATATTGACAATTATGCATTTTAAAATAACTTTTATGTGCATACCTTGAAGATTATAAGATCTGGACACATCGCTTAAGGCCGAACCTTGTGCTAAATGCATTTGGGTGCCATATTGGAGGGCTATAAATTGCATGATATATACGTGTACAGGTTATCTTCTAGTCGAGCACTCTCGCTTGTTGCTGTTATTGTTGATTGGTGCGCCCCCACAAGCAATAGTCGGAGCTACAGTTACAGCCACAGTTCCAGATACAGCCACAGCCAAAGCTGCAGCCACTCATTAGACAGGCATGAGCTGCGGCAAGGCTCGTGTAAAGGCCACCTGCCCCACATTGCTGGGCAACCTGTTGCTGCTTGGGCAGTTGGGCAATGGGCAAACCTTTGACCCGCTTTGGAGCCAGAGCATGAGCGTAACTAAAGCAAATTCTTTTAACGACAGACTATGGACATCTCTATGCGACGCCGTCTATCCACACCGAAAGCTAGTCCCTTGCTGCTGAAGCGCGGCTCCGCGGATAAGCCGCCCAAGAAGCAGAAGGAAACGGCCAGCTCGACGCCAGTCAAAGCCGAGAAGACAAGCTGGTTCAAGTCTCTGGATCGTCGTGCCAAGAGCAATCCCAAGGAGCAGGTAGGCGCAACAGTTGACCGTCTCTTTCTTGGGCATTTACTAATGGATAACTCTTCTACCATAGCTGAACGTTTCGGTCAATGGACACAGTGAGGCCAGTTCCAGCCTAAAGCGCAGCAAGCGCAATGCGTCCGCAGCGCCGGCCAAGAATTTGCGTTTCTTTGGTGACACGGACTTGGACTCGAATCCGCCAACAATATCAAAGGCGAGCAGCATGCCGCGGTAAGTCAAGCCGATATTTCAAGTTAAAGTAACCTAAAGTAACCTTCACATCTTGCCCACGACCAGACGACGTCCACAGCTGGCGCACTCGAAACACTCGCAGAGCGCCTATAATCTGGACCGTAGCCCGCCGCCGCCGTCGCGCGACTATCGCCAGAGTCTCTCCGGGCAGGCCGTGACAACGGCTCGGCAACGTGCCAGCTCTATGCAGCACTTGGAGCACGGCAGCGACGAGGTTGATTTCCGCAAGCGGCGTCACTATTCGCGCTCCCGCGAGCTACACGACATATCGGAGAGCGGCTCCGAGCCGGAGCCCGTCGAGCGGCACAAGCGTGGCAATGTTGCGCAGCGTGCCATGTCGCTGGAGCGCACGGCGGATGTGCCACAGCGCTTCGAGGAGCGGCCACTGCTGGGGCCGCCGAAGCCGGCTCGCAGTGCCGAACGACGAGGGTTGCACCCCAGTGCAGATGGCGGCTACGGCAAGTAAGTGGCCGCTAAATTATTGTCTGTCTCAGTGAGCCAGAACATATTTAATTAATACTATTTATTGTAGGGAACGCTATCCCGCGGAGAGCTCTGGCACCGAGGGCGAGTCCAGTCTGCACAGCCAGCGCAGCGTGGTCTATTTGCATGCCACCACCGTGGGTGATATACCACAGCCATACAATTTGCGCCGTCGCTCAATGTCTCGTGATGATCTGCGCAAGGGCGGCGGCGGTGCAGCTGGAAGTGGGGCTGCTGCCAAGCCGCCCTTGCAGCCCATGACGCGTACCGTCTCTCGCTCTGTCTCCATGCTGGCGCCCTGGAAGCCCAAGCACATCAGCGAGGGCTACGAGATCAACTACTCGCAGGAGCAGAACAAGCGCGTACGTTATCCGGCACTCCCGTTACCATCTAATCTTGAGCTAATCACATGCCCTTATCATCTCCAGATTTCCACGCTGCCACGTAAGCCACCACCGCATAATGGCGCAACCAGCGCGAGCACGCTGAGCCGACTGGGTCGCAAGCACCATGATGCGGCCACACGACGCCCCAATGGCTACCATGTGGATGAGCGTACTCCACCCACCAGGTCGCTGTTGTCAGCATCGAATTTACGCACCGCCAAGACAAAGTGAGCCGATGGGAAGACCAGGTGCTGCCGTTACCGCTGCTGTTAATATTTAACTACACTTAGTTGCTAATCGTAATCCGAATCGAAACATATTTCTAATCAATGGCAGGCCGCAAGGGCGCAGTCCGGAGACGGATCTGTGCTCCAGCCAAGCGGTATTTAGTTCTCTAGGGACTCTTAACCTTTGTTGCAATTCTCGTCATATTGTAAATGTGAAGTGTATGTAATTTTAATAAAATCACAACTCTTAACTTAGCTGCGACAACAACCCGGGCATTGGCCGTCTCAAATGGTTGTTCACCTTGCTAGACAGTGCTGCTCAAACTGTAGCCAAGACGTGAACCATAAAAATATGCTACCCGAACTGTGCTTCATTCAATTTCAACAGGGGGTTTGTCCCGTGCCCCTCAGCTTGCCATAAGACAACGACAAATAAATGATTTTTTTACGCAACTAATAAATTATTCGCAGCTCCGCCCTCGCCCTCCACCCCTTTCCCATCTCCCTATCAGTCTACCTCTATCTCTCCAAGTCTTATAGTTTTAGTCGCTGCGCTCGTGTCAACACCCCAAAACACATTTCCGCTGCATCCTTCAACACGCTCCAACTTTGGCTGCTTGCATTTTCAAGGATAATTGCGAAAAATACAGCTGCACAAGTTTTTCTTTAAAACGCTTCGACTTCAGCCGAGGCTGAGGAAGTAGCTGCGGCCGTGGTATTTCAAAGTTCAGCAATAAATTTATAGCCCAGCTTCGGGCAAGCTCTCCCTTACCCGGCAATCGCAGTCAGCAAGTGAAGTTGGGCAAAATATGCAAGAAACTTAAAAAACAAACAAGGCGCGAGGGTACGGCTTGGAGACACCCTGTAATCTCTTAGCTATCCCTTGGGCCAAAAATAGGAAAAACCGTATTCGTAAATAAATTTCGTTCTCCCTATCCGATCGCTTATATAGGGATTCTGTTCACATAACAATCATCAGATTGGCTCCGAACAAAGTTATCGAGTCGGAGCAGAATACCCGATCTCAGCCGCTTCAAACTGTTACAGGGTATTAAAAAATCTCGCAAATAAACGGAGCAACAACAACAACAACGATAACTAAGCAGTAATGAAAAAAGTGTTAGAATACTTTCAAGATTTACTTGCCCTCATTCCCAGCAAGCTGCGCAGGGCTGCCAGGGCTGCGCCTGGCTGAGCCGCCGATTATGGGCAGAATTGGTGTTAATTCGTTTCACATTAACTTAATCAACAGCTGCAGCTGCAGCTGTAGCTGCCACGCCCAGTGACCTGTGTTGACATAATAGCACGACACGCAGCGTGTCATTTTTTTTATTGCACCTTGAAGTCATCCGGCGAGTGCAGTTATTAATTAATTTCATCCGTGACGAAATGAGTGCGAGCCACGCGATGATGGGGTAAGTGTATGTAGTTAAGGGCCCGACCAGCCAACCAGCCAACCAGTCAGCCGGTCGTGGGTATTCAATTATCCTAAGTAATTGAATGCACTCGGAAACAGGCAAACGAGTGTGCGTTTGAGTGCAAGGAAAGTGATTAAAATACCCATCGATTCGAGTTATATTCATATATTCATATGTGCACTCAAACTAATCGAAAGTGAACGCACTTGCATCAGAAATGAACCTGAGAACGACAACTGCTCAAATGCATTTATGCAATGAAGAGATGAGCAGTTAAATCATAGTGCCAGATAATTAACATACATAGCTTTCTCCAGCTCTCTCCACGTTCCGTTTACCTGTCACTCAGGTATGTTAGGGTTGTCTCCCCCCGCCCAGCCCAGTCCAGCCTTCAAATTTGCTTGGTATTTGTGTACACTTCACGGAAACTGAGTATTTGCTCAAGTCCAGCAAAGTTCGACGTTTTCGAAATCGAGACTAAAATTCTTATTTGGATTACTATTTTCTAATTTGACAGAATCAACTACAGGATATAATTTGAGAATATTTTATTTTGATTACAAATATTTTGTTAATTACCGGTATGCAAATTCTTCAAATAAGTATGTTCTATTACAGCCTTATAGCACATGTATTTAATATTTGTACTGGAATTGAGAGCGAAGTTTTTTTTTCTGAGTGTGAACTTGTGTGTGCACGTGTGCTAGTATCTATGCATGTTTGCCCATAGATTTCTATCAATGCAAGCCACGTAATTGAAACTCTTGATTTTTCCCATTAATTAAATGGCATTGTCATTCGCCCAGACACTGGCCAGGTGCAGGAGCAGCAGCAGGAGCAGGAGCAGGAGCAGTTATACCAGGATGCTGCGTGGAAGGCGTGCGAGAGAGAGAGAGAGGGAGATGCAGCCGTCGCAAGTGAAGCTTAATTTGCCAACGATTGATCATTTAAATTAGCTGAATATACCTGGATGTCCATCAATAGGGCGCACATTCACATTCACAGACTCGCACAGAGCATTTAATGATTTCATTTAATATATATATTAATAATGATTTAAATTGTAAATGTTATAAATCGAAGCAGTAATGCGAATGGAATTCGTGAAGCCTGTTGGAGCGTCAATAAATGCACATAAATATGCAAATTGTGAATTAACAAATATTAAGTATTTGTCTTGCATTATGATTTATGCTGGGCCTGGCTGTCGCAATGCATTACTAAAAAAATATATTGAAAAAATTAAATAAAATATACTGAAATGCGTTTCAAATAATAAATTTGTGAATATTGCCTGCAGGCGGCGGTCGCATCGGGCGATTGCCCGAACATATTTATAACTCTTTATATTTCAATTTATGGCCTTAAATTTGTCCAGCAAATAATGCTGACAATTATGGATTAAATGTGTCAATAATAATGACACATTGACAAATTGGCCAGCAGATGGACAAATTGGCCCAGGTATCCAATGGCAGCTCCAACACGTTCTCCTTCTCCTTCTCCCGCTCCCTCTCCCTCTCCCTCTCTGGTAATTAAGCGCTGCCTACAAAGTATTTTATTTAGAATTAATGTATCCTTGGCTGGTAAACAAATGGCCCAAGCAGCAGGTCCTTGGAAACAGTTTGCTATTTGACTCACCGGCAACCAGGACGATGGCATTCGAGGTTTGACCGAGCGATGCGGATGCGGATGCGGTTAACTCAGAAGTCAGAAGGATGCAGCTGGAACAACAGGCACACCCACACACGTATGCACATATGTATGTATGTATATAGAACAATAATTTCAATTTGGCATTGTGTACATTTCAATGCAAATATTTGCGTATGCATTTGCATAAATTGCTTTTAAAGTCGCCTGTCCGTTGTTAAATTTTATAAATAATTAATTTTTTATTTTACAAATTTAATTACTGCACACAAGCTAAAAGGGAAGCGCATAATATTAAGTAGCATGCCTACAATGTTAACATATACAATTACAGATCTTTAACAGTTGTCTGCTTAACATTTGCTGTATTGAGCATGATCTAGGCGCTTTCGAGAGAGCATATGCAAGGTTGCATGGTGAAATTATGCTCGGCACTATGAACTAGTGTGAGTGCAACCATAATTGTGCTCTCGCTTGCACGCATTTGACCACATGATGCTTTGATCTGCATATTTGCTTTGTTTATTGTGAATCTCACCACGCCGCTAGTTCAGTCGGTGTTGCGTATTTAGGCGGGACAGTTGAGAAATGTGTAAGTGATAGAAAAAGTGCTGAAAATTTGGTTGTTTTTTGCGGGGTGTTTTTTTTGTATGTAAATAAGTAATTGACAAAATATATTATATTGTGCAAGACTTATTTGATACGATCAGCTAGGCGTGCCTAGAAAGGGTCACAGACAAAAAAATGAGTACATTTATAATTTGCATGACACACACACATACATATGTATTCACTCAAGCGTTTGCGAGTATCACAATTGGCGCCATTTCTTGGGAAAAAAAACGCGAAATCGACAAACATGTGGTGGGTTAGGGCTGTGGTGGGCTTAGGGTTGGGGGGTAGCCAATTAATTTCCGCTTTGCGTAAGATGCGCGAACAAAACACAAAGTTGATTAACGGCAATTGAGCCAGCAACACAATCAACCTACTCATACTTTCTCACTTTGCCTTTGTCTACGCTCGCACACACAGACACACACACACACAGATACACACAGTTCGTAGGCAAATGCCGCGCGCCGAAACATACAAATTTAATGGCAAAGCGATAAAAATGGCGAAAATAGAAAACATGCTTATGTAACGGCGCGCTTTAGCACATGCTGCTGCTGTCCTAGCCGAGACGCGTCTGCTAATTAATCATCGACGTTTATCCGACTTGATGCAGAACTAAACAAATCGTTTCAAATTATTAAAATCATTTATAATGCCTCGAGCCATGCAAGCTACAGGCTAAGCAAGGGGCGAAGTGGACGCCGAGTGGGCTGGGGGCAGCATGTGAGCGCTTCATGATGAAGGATGAAGGATGTGCTGCGTGCGTTTGGCGCCTGGCGCCAGCTCTAAACATGGCCATAGCCGCCACGTCCGAATACCAAGCCCAATCGCAATGCCAGTCTGCGTCTGCTGCTAGTCTTACTGCTACTGCTACTGCTACTGCTGCTACTGCTACTGATGCTGATGCTGATGTTACTGCTGCTGCTGCCAACATAAATCAGTCGCACATATTAACCTCGCTAGCGAGCAGCAGGAACAGAGACTGGCCACAGTTTCAGCGGTGCCCGGTGGGTTGCTGTTGGATTGTTGTGGGTTGTTCGGTTAGTCGGTTGTTTGTTGCCGCCGTGACCAATTAAAGACCACCATCAATATACCCTTCGTAAAGGGTACTGCCAATTTGTCATTGCAAGTGTAACGCAAAGTAGAAGACATCTTAGGTTCCACGATTTCAATATAGTCTCTCAATTATGAAGCTTACTTGATGGTGCTAGGTATAGATCTGTATATTTCGGACAATTGCAATATAAGTATTAGGAAAATAAAGGTTTTGCATGGAAAACTGTTGTGTTTCCCTAAAGATCCAAGCACTATATATTCATACTGCTGTCATACGAGATACCGATAATTTCTTTCTGCATTGACATTATTATTGGGAAGTTGCCCAAGATAAGAAGGGTATCTTATATTGGGTAGCATTGATAACTGCTGGTTTTATCTATGTCTCCTTGCTGCTGGTTGATGCTCTTCGAAGCGCTTGCCATATTTTGTTCGCATTCGCTACGCCTTCCATTTCCTGCTCCGCTGGCTCATTATTCGCACATTCGTGAGGCTGCAGCTGGGGGTGGGAGTG